TTTGGATTGTGAACAGCTCCCACTATCATAAGCCTACCACTGCGATAGACTCTGTGCTATTGCAGGAGCTGCTCGCTTGGGAGCTGGACGTGAGCACGAGCAAGGCGGTGGTAAGAAGCAGTGGCGGCGTAGTGTCCTATGTTGCACCAGCTGCTCACGTGGCGGCTGCATACCACGTGCAGGAGTGGGCGACGGTTAAATAGGGTCAGTGGGATATGATGGAAGGGGTACCAGATGAGCACGGCGATTTCGCGAATAGGAGCACATAGCGCCTGCGGCGGTAAGGCGTCTACGGTTGCGATAAGATGAGAAGAAAATGGATCGACCGCAATCGGAACTGAACCGATTAATGTTGCATTATCAAATTGTGGTAGCGTTTTGATAGTCATAACACCCTCCACAACATAACACAACCATTTAGTGCACTCAGAACCATTGCACGGGCTATTCGCGTAGCAGCTGAGCGTGACCTGTAGGGTGGCTGAGCGGGGAATAGCTGAGGTTAGTTTGGGGATAGGTGAAGGGGTACCATATTGGCGCGACCGACGCTCGCCTGAACAGGAGCACGCAGCGACTGCGGAGACCGAAGCATCCATGGCTGTCATAAGATGGGGAGGAGAGTCGATTATCCATGACCAGATTTTGAACTTTTCATTATGAAAGTGCCCTGCGATCATATGGCGCGTTTCTACATTTATTTGATTAGAAGACAGCGGTTAGTCACCATGAGAGCATCATAAATGCCTAAGACAGTAGTATCGCCCTGCTTATGCCTTACTTTGCTCCTTTCTTTCACGAGCTAAGAAGTGAGGCTCTAAAGCAGTTGCATGAGCCCGGCGAAGCCGGGCTTCCAAGAAGGAGGAGAGCTCGGCGTTAGCCGGGCGATCCGACTGGTAAATATTAAATAATAACGTCAGCCAGTTGAGCTGAAATCGAGAAAAAGTGGCTCTTGATGGTGGCAATGGTAAGCATAAGGTGTGGGATGAGTCCCACCCTAAATCAGACTCTTCGCAACAAATCAGCACCCCCGTGACAACAGCAAAGCGCGAACTGCCTCGCTAAACAGCAGTAATTATGAGAAGAACAAATAAAAAATTAAAATTTATTTATAGAATTTAATTTATAATTATTATTTTATTAATTTTATTTAATTTATAAAATTTAAAATTCATTAGAATCGTAAGAGAATTTAGTTGAGCGCAAAGCGTCCGTACCTTGGCATGTTTGATCTCGAGATCAGCCAGATCAGCGAGGTTCTTCTTGAACGCTAACACTCGACGCTTCTTCAGGTCCTTCAGTTCAGTCTTTGCTAACGCGCTGATGTCCTCGAACTTTTTACACGCCTCCTGTTGCTCGGCCTCAGCCTATAACGAACTAACTCTTCACCGATAATACAGCCAGAACTCCCTCGCACGAACAAATTACTTGTCAGAAATAATGACCGATTCACAGAAAACAGTTCAGAAACGTTCCTTTATCCGGAATGGGCTCTTCATTACAGGACGTTAGACTTTCAAAAACAACACGCGACAATAACTTTGCCGTTGATCATTCTTTGAATGCGCCACGTTATTTATTTCTATTCCCGGAATAATCGTAGAGGTTTCGAGTGCCACCAGGCCGACACAACTAAATTGGCGTTTGACCAAATATTCCAATTCTACTGCTTTTATCCTCTCATATGAATCTGGTACCGGTAAGTTACTGGAGGAATAGAACACTGTTCGCCCGCACTGTCGTCACACATGACAGTACTTATTAAAGTCCTACACCCAGTACACCGTCCGCGACCAGGTATCGAACCGAAAAAATCTGGGCGTGAGGAAGGACTTATAATGGGTCCCGACGAAAAGGGCACGAGCGAGTAGGAGCCGCGGTTCGCGAGCAAACAAACTCTAAATGGAGAGCGGACGCTGGTAAAGCGCAAAAGTAAGGGGCATCAGTAGTTGGGCCTCCCTTCTCTCGGTTTTTCACCAAGTAACTCCGCCTGCCAGTACTCCCGCCTCTAATGACCGGCTTCTACTAGAGAAAAATGAGATTTGCAGGACAAAAAGCATGATGATCCGTCCCACTGTACGATAGGTAGATATCGTTAATCCGAGTGGAATCAGGCTGTGCATATAAGGGCGTACGTTTTAGATAGAGTTGAATTAGGGCACGTACAAACTGGGAATCGAAACGGGTCTACTCTGGGGCAGGTGGCGTGTTTTTGTGCTTTTTTTTGTTTACAGTCGAGACTCAACCCCTTGTTGTCTATATGGAACCCCCTAATCCATCATCTGAGATGGCGAAATAATCGCGGGTTCTGCCTTTAAATGAGTGGCTCCATTTGCCATGTAGCCACCCTACGATCGAGAGTCAAAATCGACACAGCGCTCCCAGTCCCCTTAATATTCCTGTCTTGACTGCGTTTAAAAGGCGCCAGAATCCCTGGGGATAAGAGAGCCGTTAAAGTTGTTTTTATAGACAGTTACTATATGTTGTTGTTCTCCTCCACAAGAAACTCAAGGTCGACTTTCAAAACACATTATTTCTGGGAGTGGGTTTCAGACTATGGTAACAAGTCAGAACGCAAACGGCCTCAAAGCAAGCAGTTGGCGGTATAGAGAGAGGTGGAGGAGGGAGGAGGGATAGCTTTCGCACTGTTCGCTTAACAAGAGTTGACAGTTATGCTTCACTAGAATTGAGAGGTATTCTGTACAAGAGCTGACAAGTAGTTTCTACAAACTCAGAATGATTGCACTTCATGGCTTCACTAACCACAAATTTCAGGTGATCGCTCGTCATAGCAATGAGAAGCTGCGAAAGTGCAAAATGCCCCCTTAGCCAAACTTCGCTAACTCAAACATTATTTGCACCTTTGGAATGTCCTTGTTGTTGCGACCACGAGCACGTTCGAGATTTTTGTTCGCAGCTTCGTAGTTGGCGAGACATCGAAGGCGACGATAAAGGAGATCCTGAAAATGATTATGAGATATTGATAAAGTGATCAACTTGGAAAACAAACGATCATTTTCAGAGCTGCAGAAAAGAGAAAAGTATCTTATTCAAGATTACACAATTTTCAGAGCTGGAGAGAACGAGAGTTCTTTTCGAAGATACACAAAAGAAAGAAAAAGCTTCGAAATGAATGAAGAAACCAGGGAGAAATATGACAGGGCTCAAAAGGATGCAAAACGGAATAGGAAGGAAACTGAGAGGAGGTACGCTTGAGTTGGAAGTGAAAACGTCACTCCAATGAGAGTGGCTACATAAGAACGCGCGATAAAGGAACAGGAACCGTTTCGTCACTGGAATCACCCGCTTTCTGTCAAGGCACTCGCCTCGCAAATCGGCTTCCCAGGCCTTCCGATCTCCACAGGGGCTCCACAAATCTGGTTCATTCTCATCCTTTCCTAGACCCTCGTTATTAACTGTCACTAACAACCTTTTGCCTTCTCCTATTTGAGAAATCGACACTAAAAAGCACGAAATTACTGCAGAAGTAATGACGAACAGCGAAGATCTCAAAGGCGATTCGGCGCGGTTCGGCTTGGTAGGGGCACGAATGGTACCAACCAAGTTTCTACAGGCCAGACCTGTAATTTCCTGTGCCTAACGTGGCTCTTTTCTGTCATTTCGCAGCCTCACAGCACGCACTTTCCAGGTTTCACCAGAAACGGACCCGCTATTTCACATGAATTAACAAAAGGAACTAGCGAATGAGCAAAATGCCCCTCCAAGTCGAACAGCTCCCAGTAGTTCTTCCCCTAGAGATGTGCGGCGCACCTAGCTCACATTTAAAATCAAATATAAGTGTTCTGGTGGATCGGTTCAGTAATGAGCTGACGCTGACTCCCTGCGGCCATCATGGAACACCCGAAAACTCTTGAAACTCTCAAAATTAGATAGAAATTTTGCCATACGCTACTGCTGACTTCTTCCTCCAAAAAGTCTTTCTCGAGACATTCGTTGGTTCTGTCGCTCGAACCTAAGGTCGAGTCCAAGGTGAGGGGTAGCCTGGGCCTAGCTCTCTCGCTATCCCTCGCCAATATGCTGAAGCCGACGCCATCTAATACTTTGATGAAGCTCTGATCATATTTAGGAAATACTTTTCAATTTCCGACGGATTTTGCCTTCTTCAACGAACCTCAGCTAGGTCCAGCTCGAAGAATTTCCCAACCACCTTATGTTCTACCAGTCGGCGGAGCTGGCCTGGCTTCGCCAGGCGTTTTCCCATAATTTTTACACGGAAGCAGTGCGCTGCTCATAAAGGCGCTGTAGTGATCGAATCGTAACAGACAGAGCAAGGCTTAGGATCCCGCACAACTCAGCACGCGCTTCTATTTACAGCAGCGGTGTAGTCCGCGCCATGACGCCCATAGAATACATAAATCTGTAGATAGATACAATGTGTAGTCGGCCAATACAGCGCAATATGAATCGCTCAGTGAAATAGCAGATTTCGTTTCCATTACCTGCACCGAAATGATTACCGATCCCTTTTGCAATTAGCATGGCGATTCCGCTCGCTGACGTGTTTTTTTCGGTATGCTCCCTCGAATTTCCACTGAGATTGCTAATTTGCCAGCGAAATTACGTAACCCCCCCCCCCCCCGGCTTCGTCGACATCTGAATATAAATGGTGACTAAGAGAGGTAATGATAATGCCCTCTATCCTTTCTTATCAATTGATAAGATCCTGTCACCCGTCATCAATGTCCCTATCACTAAAACTATAATTTGGTAGTGTAAAGGCTCCAGCAATTTGACTGAACAGCATTGGCAACGTTCCTTATCAGCCCCTATCAGCTGTTATCACCTCACGTGCCGTGTCCCCATCTCCAACTCTATATCATTTTCTGAAATTAATGCCTAGCTGATGCTGTGTTCCGCGTTATGATATGGTGACCTTACCATTCTAACTCCCCTTATCAAATCCTATCAGCTGCTATCATTCCCTGTCACCCATCAATAATGTTCCTGTCCCACGTCCTATATCATACCTTGGAACCAATGTCCCACTGTTACTGTGTCCCGCACTATGGGCTCGGTCACCCTCCTTCTAAGGCCCCTTATCGAATCTCACGAGTGCTATCACATTCAATCACCACCAGTCCCGTCCTGCCATGTATATCACTTCTTGAAACTGTCGTCCCTATCTTTTCTGCAACGCTCGCTATGAATTTCGTGACAGACATGGACAGACGCACACACACACACAACACACACACCACACACCCACAACACACAGACAACACACTTACAGACATACTTAGCGGATTATATATAGCAGGATAGATGTCTACGCAGTGGTAATCACATCCTAGAAAACCCGTTCCGATAGCTGTAAAACCCCAGAATTTCACTACAAAGAAAAATTGCTTGGGAAAAACATCCTGATCTCAGCATAACGAGAGAGATTGTTGGCGGAGACCAAAGGACGTCAATGAGCGCGGCGAAAGCATTGCCGACGCACTCACTGCCAGTCTTTGACGAGCAGACGTCGCCTGCGGGTGGTTCCCCCGCAAACAATGACCTCAATGACGCTGCATCGATCACCGAGCGAGAAAACATTAAAAACGCCCCGCTGTAAGAATACTCGGCAAAAAATACTACCAGTTGGTTGCAAGAATGAAAAAATAGGCAAAAGCTGAAGTCTTCGAAAAATGGAGTTTAGAGTTAACCTGACAGTGAACATGTATTTAGCAAAAGGAACTAGTGGAGTACAGAACGCCCCCGTCCAAGCCGAACACCGACAAAGCTGCCTGGGGAATAAGAACAATAACCAGTACATTCGTTGGTTCTCGTTAGTCATGGTAAAGTCCACGCGCACCTAGAAATTTCCAAAACTCAATATGTAAGTCGGATGCATGGCGCACCTTCAAGATGCTGATAGGCATAAATGAATGATGCACCAACGAAAGGATGACTGAATGAGAGAAAGAAAAAAGGAAAAGGGTCTAATGAAAGACCACTCCCACGCCGTAATATTAGATGGAACGTAGGCTGTTACCCATTTGATCGTGTCATGTTTTTGTCTAGCACCTGACAGAATAACAATTGTCTCAAATGAAAAATACCCCACGACAAACGCATCCCACGCCATGTTCAAATTGAGTACGCAGCCAGGCCTTCCCAGTGGGGTTACAGTACCATAGGAAAGTAATCAGTTCCTTTTTTTTTTGAAAGATATTCAAACAATCACCATACAACATTGGTTAAGTGGAAAACCACGATAAAGTTGAGAAATCCGCGTTCCTTTGGGTGTAAAGAAGACGTCTCCGACAATTTGTCCGATTGCGAGGGCAGAAGATGCACCACTTTCGCGCTCTAGAAAGAGCGTGAAAGACCCAGCGCTTCTTGACATAGGTGCTGCAGCGCCCAGCGCTCTATGCGTACCCAATGTTCTTGTCCAAAAAGTCCTGGTGGCGCAATCCACTGTGCTAGTAAGCTCTCCTTCGAATGGGGAGAGTGGGGTGACAAGGAATAAAGCTGATATCGTATGACAGCAACAAGCGCGGAATTCCAAACACGATCTCTCTTCGCTGGAGCATGTACGAGGCTTGTCCGGAAAAGTTCTCTGCAGCCATTTTGTTCACCTATTTTTTGTACATCACAAGCTGATTAAAACCATTCTGCCTTGGCTTTTATCAGTAAGGCTATCCTGTAGAGAATTTCTTGTGCTATCTGATGGTATAATTGCCGTTTCACCATTGCTTGATAAACCCTTTTCAAGATTTTTTCAAGCATGTGAAAAGAGCACTTCGGACGATTTTTTTTCTTCGACATCCGCAATCGAAACAGCTCAACAAATTAACCAGGTGTGGGGGCCCAATAGTGCTAGAGAAAGCACTGTGCGGCAATGGCTCAACAAATTTCGTTCTGGAGATTTCAGCCTTGAAGATGAACCTCATAGCGGTCGACCTAAAGCAATATCTGACGAGGATTTTAGGGGGATTTTGGAGGCTGACCCATCCCAAACAGTTCGAGAGATAGCAGAAGAGCTAGGCCTTGGCAAATCCACTGTTGCAGATGGTCTGGAACGCATTGGGAAGGTGAAAAAACTCGACAATTGGGTGCCCCACAATCGGAGTGACCGGCAGGAATCGGCACGTCTCGAGGTTCCTTCTGCATTGCTTTTGCGCAGCAGAAACGACCTGTTTTTGGGCCGAATTGTCACCTGTGATGAAAAATGGGTCATGTATGATAACAGGAGACGTTCCGGACAGTGGTTGGATTTCGACGAACCACCGAGGTAATTTTCAAAGCCGAACCCTCACGAAAAAAGATTCTGGTCACGGCTTGGTGGTCATCGGCTGGTGTGATCCACTATAACTTTTTATCACCAGGCCAAACCATCACAGCAGAACCCTACTGTGAAGAAATCGACGAATTGTACCGAAAATTTTGTCAGATGCAGCCAACACTTATCAAAAGAAAGGGTCCGATTCTTTGCATGACAACGCCCGCCCACACGTTTCACAAATCACTATCCATAAATTGAACGAATTGGGGGTTGAAGTTCTACCTCAACCGCCATATTCTCCAGACCTTTCACCAACCGACTATCACCTTTTCAAACATTTTCAGAACTTCCTTGCTGGAAAATACTTCATCAATCAGGACCAGGCAAAAAAGCCTTCGTGGATTCTCGACCACCCAGTTTTTTCTTTGATGGGATTTCTCGACTGCTGTCACATTGGCAAAAGTGTGCTGATTCGAATGGTGTCGATTAAATCCGATGAGTATTAAAAAAGTTACGATCGTTTAAAGTGAAACACCCAAAACGCTGAGAACTTTCCGGACAACCTAATATAACAAGGGAATGGTTTGAACTTCCCATGGAACTTTGAATGGAGACCTAGGTACATCGATAGAGTCTCGAATGCTGATTACGAATATGCAGATTAAAAGTGCTACGGGGACCTCCCAGACGAGTTCTGGGCGGTCAAAGTTTGCGAAATCCCGGTTTTGTCTCGTAAGCGCTGCTGATCGCTCATTGGACAGTGTCACCGTGGCCTAGTGGTAGTGGTCTCGCTTCAAAGCCGTAATGTCGTGGGTTTGCATCCCGTTGGCGTGAAAACTTTTGCTTCGTCTCCTAAAAGAGCTTTCACTCTAATTTTCGAAATTGCTCCGAGTTTACGGCTCAGCAGAGCAAGTAGATCAAGTAGATCAAGTATTGACATAATCGATCAAGTATGGATTTGATCGCTATCTGTCCTCTCTGAACTCATTACCCATCCACAACAATTCGAACTACCTCGACAATTCGAATTTTGCCACTCGTCCACCAATTTGTCCAAAAACTCGTTCCTGAGGTATTTGTCCCCCATGAAAACGATCTATCATTTCATTGCCACAATATCATTCCCTATTTGGCAAAAGAAAACGCTAGCGTCTT